CGCAGGCTCTCCGCCAGGGAGAGGCTGGCAGCTGCCGTCCCGCTCGCTCCCAGCAGCTGTGCAGGCACTGACGTGTCATCTTCTCCGGTTTGACCCTCGCAGCGACCCTCTGGGGCAGGCAGTGTTCCCCCATCTTACAGATGAGGAAGCAGGCGCTCAGAGGGTTAATGGCTCCCCGCAGGTAACACGCTCCTCCGTGGCCCCCTGACCCCCCGGCCTTCACTGCCTGCACTTCTGGACGGCTCCCGGCCCGGCCGCCACTGCCCGCCCGGCTGGTGTTGGAGCATGTCCTGTTTGCCATGGCCAGACCAGCCCCTGGGCCCCCGCGCACGTGCTTGGCATCCCTGGGTGCCCGTCAGGAGTTGGTGGAGAGCAGCCGGGGGTCAGGGGCTCGTCTGGGGCAGCGACCCTGGTGGCTGTAGACAGCAGGCCTGTATGAGGCCATCCGCCCAGCCGCGCATGGCTTGTGGCTCATGGTCCGTGGCCTCTGCCTGAGCTGAGACGCGGGAGCCGGCTGAGTGGTCTCGGGGACACCGCGCCCCAGCTCGGGCACATGGCCGCGAGGCCCCGGGGCTGCTGTTGTGCCCGGAGAGACCTGCGGGCCCCGTTGCCCTGGCATGACACATGCTCTCACCAGACACACCCACTCCGGCTCCGGGTGTTTCAGCATCACGCCCCGCAGTGGGGAGAAGCCCTCACAGCTCCCGCTGCCTTCAGGGTGGAGTCCAGGCCCGCCCCTCAGCCCTGCTGTCCCCGCCCCCACCCGCATGCTTTGCCCTCTCCTGCTCCAGACAGTTGGCCTGGAGGGCGTTGGTTTTGAGGTCCCTGTTGGAACGTTCCCTCTATCTCTGTCGCCCCCGAGCCTGAGTCCTGCTTGGTGAGGATCCCCATGGCAGCCTCTCGGTCACGCCTGACCCGGAGACCCTGGCGCAGCCGGCCCGGGTGCTGGTCGGGAGCGAGTGGACTGCATGCTACCCCTCACGGCTCAGGCGTGCCGAGCTGCTGGGGCCTGGGGCGCAAAGGGAGAGGGCAGCTCAGGGAAGGTTCCGAGTCCAGCCTCACCACTGCCAGCTGTGTGACCTTGGGCTGGCGGCGCGGCCCTCTGAGCCTCCGTCCCATTGCGGGGGCAGCTGGGAGGATGG